TTATATACATAAACGATTCAATGTAACTCAATGTAAAAACCGAAATATATTTAAAATATAAATAGCAAAACTTCAACTTAGATATCTAGTATATATATATATATATATATTTACTTCTTCAATTTTGTCGTTTTAACGTTTCTTATCGATTTGAATCAGAAAAGATATATATAGAAAATTATTCCACTCACTTTTTCTTTATTGATTGGTTTTCTGCCTTGATATCGCCAGCATCATTTCTCTTCCCTGCAAATAAATTTCATTAAATGATTATAATGTTAATTAATAAATTATATTTGGCCATATTATAACTATAATATACATATGGGTTAGTAATAGATAAGAATATCAGCAAATTGTTGCAAATTAAGTTTAAGATTTTGAAGAAAAAGAGACCTGAATTATTTACTCATATTCATAATATAAATTGTTTTTAATTATTAAACATATTAAACAATTCATGCGTGATTTGGACATAAATATTATATCATTCTGCTATAATTTAAGACTTTGTAATTTAAGGAAATTAATAATGAATTACATGGCTAGAACTAATCACTTTACACCGATGAACAGTAAAAGTTTCTCTTACACAAAGTCATTAAAAACATAAGATATCTTAATTATCCAAAGATTTAATATAATTATTATCACATTTTTAATAGAATATATTTTATCCATCAAAGCCTATATCGTGCTTTTACACTTTACGCCCGTGCATCTTTCCGTAAAGACTCTTCCTATCACTGGAACAGAGTATAAGGTTACTTTCTAACATACACAGATGAACATACCTCCATTTGTATCTACGTAGTCAGCAATCCTCAGATACTCCTCCTTCACCATCTCCATTCTTCGCTGTAACCAGACGAAGTTCGGACGTGCTGGAGCGAATCATGCCAACCGACTGACCGTCCTCAGCGGTTGCACGCACACATCGGCGAGGGATCCGCGCGCGATGCACCGTGGTCAGGAGCGATCTTTGGGCACGCGTGCACACACGAACACCGGTATTTCTCGTTCGTCGTATCCGTACCGTCGTATTCGCTATTCGCAATTTATAACCTAAAGCGTCGTCGAACCTCCTCTGGAGCGGAATTCGCACCGCGTGACACCGCGCGTCGTTCGCCGAGCGCGAGCGCGACTATCGTCGACAGAGCAAAAGCGGATTAATCAGCCGCGCAAACGACGCGACGGCAAAATACCCGGAGATGCACGCAACTTGCGTCACGCACGAGATTAACCCGAGACCAGTACGAACGAACAAAGCGGGAGCTGGACGCGTGACGTGACGCGCGCAAAGAGAGTGCACAACGCGCGCACTTATCAACGCGTCGCGCGAGACCACGTGACCTCGCGACTGACTCAGCCGACCGAGCCAGCATACGCTTTTCAACGCTGATCGCGAACTTCGCGCAACTTCATGGAACTTTACACAGCTGACCGCGGCTATCTTCGGTGGTTTCTGTCAGACTACGCGTGGCTCGAAATGCGCATGAGTTTTATGCGTATTTTGATTGTGTATTTTATTTTAGATGCCTCTTAGATTTTAATTTTTTACAGCGACAGCGATAATTATTGTATTTTAATAATTATTTGATTAGGTGGAATAATTCAATCGATGTTCGAAGTTGAGAAAGATCAATGTCAATTCGTTCGTTTTAACCATCTGTAATTTGTCTATTTGTAAAGATTAAATCTTAAATACTTCACATCTTAATATTTAAAGGGGAAGAGTGAAAATCATCAATTACATTACTTTGACTTGTATCGAATACAACGAAGATTTCATCTCATCGCTCATGTTTGTTCTGCTTGATATCGTATTTTGATTTTCCTTACAATCAGGAAAGAATCATTTTTATCCATTCGTTTATTAATATTACATGCGCAATCGGCGAGAGGATAGAAGATAGAAGACGATGTCCATGCGATCCCATGATTGCGCGATCGTTGAATAACGTGAGAGTCTGGAAAAATTAATTGTTGATGGGATAAACAACAACAACAATTTTGTCTTTTGCAGGGAAATTATTATTATTATTATTATCCGAATTTATCGACGTGCGTTTTGAACATCAGTAAAAGTGGAACAGTTTTTGCGCAAGGTTAGGCTCCCGCGCGATACGAATGCGAGGTTAGTCGCTCGCAAAATATCAAGAACCGCCGCGGAGTTACCACGTCGACAAGTACCGGCGGTTCCACGTGCAGCTCCACGAGTGGCTGCGAACATGATTCTTTATCACTTGATGTAAGGATGTACAGCTCGTTAGTGCAATCCTCCTCCCTGCATGGTTTGTAATTATGAATTGAGTTCTCTTTAGTATTGAGATTTATCCTTTTTTTTTTGCGATTACTAGCATTCTGTTTTTTTACTATGTTGCTCCCTTATCGGAATCATTAGATCTTTATCTTACGTTACGTGAGATTATTCGATTTGGAGAAATTTGTGCTTGATTGCAATATTGTGTACGATTGTTACATATGATTTAATTAGTTGTAGATTATCTCTGTAAGTTTTGTAACAATATTCTTATGTAACAATATTCTGTGTAATGATTATCTTTTATTTTTTTTTATTGAATATTGTAATTGCGTCTTTTGTTTTTCCTTTATCAGAGTATCATAAGATTATTTTTTAAAAGATTTTGCATTTGTTTGCATTTGTTTGCAAAATTTGCATTGATCATCATATAATTTAATTAGAATATATTTATGAAAGTTTTATTTATTGCATAGTGATCCTCTATAATAATCTTAATCAGGAAATAGTATTTTTACATTAAAGCAGATGAAAAATATGTTTGTTTAAAGTCAATTTATTTTTACAGGACGCCTATAATCCTGTTTATAAATATGCTGTTACTAATAGCTATATGTAAAGTACTCTGTATACTGGTTCTTTTACCAATTTTATTGATAAAATGGAGAAAGTATTATTCAAGAAAGCGCGAGGAAAGACAACAAAGTGGAACAGTTGTTGGAATCTTTCATCCATACTGTAATGCGGGTGGAGGAGGCGAAAGAGTGCTTTGGGCTGCAGTTAAAGCTATACAGAACAAGTATGTCAAAGAAATATTCCTATGTCTAATATTAAAAACTTATCAATTTATCAAATTTGAGATGTCCTTGCTTTGTTACTCATTCACCATTTTTATTTATACAAAATATTTTTAGATATCCTGACGTACACATAGCTATATATACTGGCGATCTTGATGCTGATCCTGAAAAGATTCTTAATAAAAGCGAAAAAACATTCAACGTGAAATTACGACCCAATATCGAATTTGTTTATTTGCATGGGCGAAAATGGGTGGAAGCCTCGACATATCCTTATTTTACACTTTTGGGGCAAAGCCTAGGATCCGTCTGCTTGGGCATCGAGGCATTAAACAGTCTTCCACCAGGTGACATTAAATTGTTCAAATATATTCATACTATTTGCAATATATTCATGCTACTTGTAGTATCTATTGAACGAAAACAAATACAAGTAAATAGTATACGTAATTATACGATACTTATATAAATTGCAGATATATACATCGACACGATGGGTTATGCGTTTACATATCCTTTATTTAAATATATCGGAGGCTGCCGAGTCGGATCGTATACGCATTACCCCACGATTTCGACTGATATGTTAAAATATGTCTACAAAAGAGTTATCTCACATAACAATCGAAAAATCATCGCTAGAAATCCGTTTCTATCAGGAGCAAAGATCCTTTACTATAAATTATTCGCACGTGTAAGTATATAGCTTACAAATTCGATTGATTGTTTTACGCAAAATCAATTTTTCCAAACGGTCGTTTCACAATAGAATATTTCAGTTATACGGCTTGGTTGGTAGTTGCGCGGAGACCGTGATGGTAAACTCCTCATGGACCGAAGATCATATCAACTCTATTTGGAAATGTCCGTTGAAAACGCATCGAGTGTATCCGCCGTGTAGTGTGGAACATTTGATTGAACTGCCGCTCCTCAGCGATGACGCAAAGGGTGACTGCATACGTATAGTGGCAATCGCGCAATTCAGGCCGGAGAAAAATCATCCGCTTATGCTGAGGGCTATGTTCGAGTTAAGATCTATCCTTAAAGAGGAGGTCTGGGAAAAGGTGAGCCAATAGTGGTTTATTTCAGTAGCAAGGAATTGTGTCGTAAACTTAATCGTGTTAGGTCAAGTTAATTTGCATCGGTTCCTGTCGAGATGCTGAAGATGAAAAGCGTGTTAAGGATATGCAAGATTTAGCTAAACACTTGGCTTTAGACGAAAATGTCGAATTCAAATTAAATATACCGTACTCTGAACTCGTATCCGAAATGCAAAGAGGAACGATTGGCCTACATACAATGTGGAATGAACATTTTGGTATCAGCATTGTGGAATGTATGGCTGCGGGATTAATTATGGTGGCTCATGCCTCAGGTGGACCGAGGTATATATTGTTTTAGTTTCGTGAAACATTTAAAATTAATGAAAAAATTTATCAAAATATTTTACGACTCTTTAGAGCAGACATCATAGAAACGCAAGCGGGTAGTATAACTGGTTTTCTAGCAGAAGACGAAGTAGAATATGCCAAGGTTCTGGCGTACATCATACAAATGCATCCAGATGATCGAAATGTTATTAGAGTTGCTGCTAGGTAAAGTATTCATAACCGTGACATTATAAAATGAAGAAAACTATTAGTGACTCTCTTTTTCAGATCATCTGTAAATCGTTTCTCAAGCCAGATTTTTGAGAAGGAATTCCTACGGGCGATCGAGCCGTTTTTCAGACCGAAACAGGAATAGTTTCGCTGCCTTGCAATTTCTCGAAAAGACGAATATATGTGTGAATGTCATATTTTAAAATCAGAATGTACTTTTTCAGTACATGTTATCTTTTACGTGTAATAGAGAGTGTATGTGTATAACAAAGAAGAACGTTTTCTATGTGATAAATCTGTATATTTAGTTGGTTAAAAACTTTTTGCTTGATGTCCATTAACTTTATGATACAGTACATTGAACAATCATAATTTAGCAAACATTACAGCATATTGTATATATTATGATGCTTGTTAATGAACTGTATTATTTAAACGATTTTAATATTCTTATAAAAGTCTAGATATACTATTGAAAATTTATGAAAGTATGTGTGAATATCGATGTTGCAACTTGCAACAATAACGTGCAAAAACCAACAGAATCAATAAAACATTTAATAAATGAGAAAAACAAGAATGTCGGAATTATTAATCATATATGCAACGATAAATTATAAATTGTATAGTCATTGTTTAATCAGATTGTCGTTAATCAGTCCACATCCTTGGCACTCTAAGATGTATGAGGGATATTCACTTTCAGTGCTTTTCGACAAATTGAAACGAAGTCCATGTTTACCTAACATTATCTCCGCGACTTGCATAGCGGTCTCTGTGTGACAAGTGAGCTTCATGTCTCCAATATTAATCCGCGAGACACCTTTTGCCAGTGCCATTAAAATTATCATCTGTAACAAATAACGCAATGATTTAGAAATTGACCTCTTCAAGCTTGTTCGACATGCTTACCTGATCTTGTGTGTGCTCGTCGACACACGCTCTTGCTAGAAGTGATTTTAAAATCTCATCAGCCGCTGTTTTACCTGGCGACGGTCCCTCTCGACGCCCGGAACCTAAGCCAGAACCGCCAAGAACGCATCCCGTATTGGTCTTACACACTATACTAATATTTATTTATATTAATGTCAATATTTTTATCTGATATATGTGATCAGAAGAGAAAATTGTAATATAGTAGATTCTTACTTTATACCAGAGCCGTTTCCAACAGTCATTGTTTTATCTTCTTTATAGGCCTCGGTTGTAAATGGTGGTACTTGAATGTGGCTTTCTATTAACTTATTATTTAAAATCGCTTGAGCATCATAAGCCATTCTTTGTGCTTCCTATAAATATAATTGATTAAAGTCTAATTCGTTCATAGATTTTAATCAGAACGTACATTTATGTGAACTGATCCAGCCACGTAAGACCACATTGTTATTTCTATGGGAAGTCCTTGGTTGATTAAGGTAACTGCATTTAAATTACTGACCGGTTTTATATGTAAATGCAATCTGCCTCCTCCCTTTGGATAATATCCTCTTCATTTGCCATTAATTTTAGTATACATGTTACAGTAAATTTAAGATCAGGTATAATAAATTGAGTGCATATACCTCTTCATGAGTTCAAAATCAAAGTCTGCTCCAAATTTATTCAACATTGGTTTGAATACTTCCGTTAGATATTCTATTTGTGGTCCCATGGGAACATTTGTACCACCCATAAGAATAAGTGTGACTGCATCATTATATGGAAAGAAGAGAGCACATGGTAGAGCCACTTGCGCCAGTAAGCAAATACATCCAGCAGTTTGTGTATCTGCTACAAATGTCCTCTTGTTTTTGTTTAATGGACCTGGACGAAATTCCAAGTGTGTCGATCCTATATATCCACCTTGAACTTGGGCATTGCACATTTCTTTTACCAGTTCCAAACCTATACCAATAACAGAATTAAGTTTTCTATATTTTACACAGTTATGAATATAATGAATCCTACTTTCATATTACCTTTCAAATGTTGCGCTGCAAGGCCGGGCTTAGGCCTTCCAGCACGTATATTTTTTATTTCAATAGGGATTCCATAAAGCGTACTCAAGCTAAGAGCAATTCTCAAAACTTGTCCACCCTTTAAAGAAGAATCAAAATTAGATATTCTGTGTTATAAATCTTGTACTTTTTCTTAAAAAACATGATCTTAAAAAAAGTGATCTATGAGCGAAATCAAAAAAAGAAAGAAAGAATAAAAGACAGCTGTCAACATTGACAGATATGACATGCATACAACCATATGAATCAAATTCTGCAGGAGATAATTTAGAGAGACATCGTAACATTAAATAACATCCAAAAAACATGTAATAAAACTGAAATATCGCTAGTTCGCATCAAGATACAAATATATCTATCATACTTGATATATAACCAAATTGATTTCATTTGAATAAAATTAACAGCAATCAGAAGATCTCCCACGTTATATACTTACACCCTCACCCAAACTGCCGTCAATCTGCACAAGAGACGACATGATGCGGTAACTCTTAAGCATGCAAACGTCTCGGTCTCGTTGAAGGAACACTTACTCCAATTAAAAGCCTGCTTGTCTTCCTCGTTTTCGGCTAAAGTTCGACTCACACGTTCGTAAGCATCATTTGTCTTTATTTGATATTCGATAAACAACATGGACGAAACGGGTGACATCCGTTTGACCACGTCCCGATTGATCACTAGCCACTCACAGGAGCCAGCGTCTAGAATTTTTCCACTGTTCAAGCGCTGTGAGTGGCTAATGATCAATTGGGACATGGTCAAATGTTCGAAACAATTCCATGAGCGCTGTGAGCGTCAGAATGAATCGAACTTTAGCCTTTAATTATTTCCAATTCTTTCGAGGTCCTTTTGACAATCACGAAAATTTGTCTAAAATTGATGACTGATCTTCAACCACTAATATTTCGTCGGTGGATCGTTTTGGATCTGAAATAAAGCCGCCGTTTGCCGTTTTATTATTTGCGTATGCGCAAGTATGATTTGCGATTATTCGAATTCAAAAGTGTATACCCGAGTTAAAAATGCGTACACGTACAGTTACGAATGCGCAACTATTTACTCGTAATGCAAAGAGTGAGTCAAAACACTCGTTTCTCAAGTTGCGAGTACGTATTGTATTACTATATTCTTTTATAGGCTATTTACGATATCTTTGATATGATGTGAAAAAATGGAATTCATGAAGCATAATGCAGCATAATGAATGCAACTTAATGAATTAGAAGCCGTTAAAATTGCTGTAATGCGAAATCCTCATATAATACTACCTCCTTTTCAATTGCCTGAAAAATGATTGAAACAAATTTTTTGATTATCAAAAAACTTATGCTAAGAATTTATTGCAGATGTTGAATCATTTATTCCGCAACAAAGATGAAAGTCGGCTTTAATTCTAATCGCACAAACGCATAACTTGCTCACATATACACGCTGATAAATATTTTTATTTTTGTGACATCTGATTTTTTTTCATTCAGTCGAAATTATATATATATATATATATTTATTCGTATTCTTTTTATATTTAGAGATTTGAGCAACGTCAAGTGTTTTTACATAAAATTTTTGCGATAAATCGAAACGCAAGCGGTAAAACTGCACGTGACGCACTAAATTTGACTCAAAGCTTAAGGCCTGAGACTATTTTTGAGCTTTCTGACTTGTTCACGAGAAAGCGAGTGCTCCACTTTTTCGGAGCAATGCTCCAACAACGTGCTCCGAGCATTACTTTCCCTCTTTGCTGAAAGCTGTTCACGCCTCTATATGTAACCAATGTAACAAATCTGTTGTACTGCCTAATTTAATGGAAAACCCATATGTAAAAATGTTTATTTAGAATATGGGTGTTTTATTTCAAACGTAATAAGTGAAATATCTTAAAAAATATGAAATATATGGAAATATATGGAAATATATGGAAAAATGTTTCAGACAAAAGTTTTATAGCTTCGGAAAAGAAAAATGATGACATTATTAATTAAATAGTAAATAGTGTTCCTTTTAGTTCCGTTTTTTTTTATGGCCATTATTTTTTTAAATGGTATCATATATTTTTTTTGTTATGCAATATGATTCCTCTAGTTCTTTTGGATATAGAAATATGAAGACACAAATATGAAAAAGTCAGTAGTTTATGAGATATTTTGTATTTTATTCCGTTATATTCTGACATAAAAAATAAAATATTTTGTAAACTAATAATTTTCTGATAAATGATATCTTAATACTTGTATACATTTATGTACTTTTAAAATTTGTAGCGGAGCATGGCTGCGTTCGGGGAGCGCGCTATTAGCACTATCGAATCATTTCATCTTTATTGCTCATTATACATTATATTATAAATTAAGGATAAAAATGATGCAACAGTTCTAATAGCGTGCTCCCCGAACTTAGCCCATATGTAACGCTCCGTTGCTAAGCGCGCGTTATATGGCCCACACCGTCCTAGGCGGCCCAGAGGCTCTGATCTCTGATACTCTGAGGAAGGCGATAGTGGCGCCGTTTGACAAGCGCAACTAGTAACCGAACCGAAAGTAAGCCTCGTATTCCCAGCAGGACCCTTCTGTCCTACGTGAAGTGCAACGAGGTTAAAACAGCTGTTCTGCTGGATGGTCGCGTTGACAGGGACGATCAAGCGGATGAGAGATCTATCGGAAATCCAAGCACTTAAATGATATCGCGAATATTCCGTGGGGAAATCGAGAATGTCGCTGTCAAACGTAAACGGCAAATCGACACTCTGAAAATCTTTAATGACAAGTAAGGGTAATTCTCATCATCGTCAGGCACTTATTGTCGTCGTCGTGGTCGTCATCGTCGTCGTCCCCGTTGTCACCTTCTCGTTAACCTCATTTGAATTAATATTATGACTAGTAATATGCCTAAATCGCTCACAAATGATCACACACATCGTGAAAATAGTTGGATTGTATAACTCATAATTTTTCTCGTCGCGACAACAACGATCATCTCCAGTCAAGTTTTTCATCTCCTGAAATCTCGCCTGCGTCATCTTGAAACGCGCAAGCGTTTCTACATGAATATTTCATTAGAGACAAGAAGTATAATCGAGTTAATAATGTTAGAACTTAATGCTAGCTCAAGGTCACAGTTGTTCTGAAATTCCACTGATCACGCTGTGGATGTGTAATATAATTGATGTTTTGCAGTGTAACAGAGCTCAGAGAAAATGTGGACTATCGAGTGGAATTCCAAGCTGGCGAAAGACGAATGGCTATTGTGGTTTCCTTGTCGCCAAATTTTCCACTGGAGAAGCCAGTACTTAGAGTTTCCCCACCGATAAGTCATCCCTGGTGCAATGAACATAGTGAAATTACTAGTGCGCCAGGATTACTCAATGTAAGTAAAGGAATTTGCCCTATAAATTTATCTTTATATTTTATTTTCATCTATTTCACATATCTAAGATAATTAATCTTGCTTTTATGTCAGTTCTCCGTACACAGCGATCTTGGTCGAGTTGTTCAAGCTATTATTAGAGAATTCAGCAAAAATCCACCGCAATTGTTAGATGATACATCGCCTGGCTCCACTAAACCTCACCGAGGTATGCATCATCATTTTATTTATTCTTTCATATGTAAATTCATTCATATGAAAATATGATAAAATACCTTTCATATATCATTACAGACCTACAGGGAAGAAACTCACCGTCTTACTCGCTTCAGCAGTATCCTATTGAAATTCCGTCTACATCGTTTAGTTCGTATTATAACACGCAATTTCCACACTTGTCGTCCTCCAATGCAAACACGTGCATTTATAATTATAACTATACGAATTCAGGTCATACATATGTTTCGACTTCGAAATCGTTTGGTAGTACGTCACATCACTCGACGTATATTCCTAATTCGAGGAACAATACTCTTCAAAATTCCACATCTACGCGATACACCTCGGATCAGCACAGTGCGCCCTATTTGAATTCGCATTACGCAAATGCGAATTATCAGCAGTCTTTGCCGAGTCAATCGCAGACAAAAGCACCGCAAAGTATAATATTTCCAGAATTAAATAGTTTAACTAATGAGGAATTAAAGAGGCTCAGTGAGGATAATGATAAATTAGATGACTTTCTGGAGAAATATTCCCAAATTAAGGATATAAATGCAGCGATCGAAGATGCAATGGATTGGGTTGAAAAAACTGCCGGTAAAAACAGAAAATTATTTTTTCTATATATCGAAATAAAAAGTAAGACTATGGAAAAATATTGTATTGTATTTTTACGAATTGTTTCCTTCAATTTACTTTGCATGTGAATTAACGTTTTTAATTGCTTATTTGCATTTTTTTTCTACAGAAGCTAACGCAGCCAAAGAACCTGAACTGGAGCAGTTACAGGTTGATGTAGCAGACAAGGTGAAAACTGTGGCAGCATTGAAAGCCAGATATGATCATCTCATACAACGATATAACAAATTGTCCGAGGTTTTCACTCCGGATCATATAAAGGAATGTTTGAGACAGGCAGCGGACGAAAGCCACGAAGAAAGCGAAAAAATTGCGGAGGATTTTCTCAACCGGAAGATTGATGTCGAGCGCTTTCTCAGCACATATATCGAATGTCGGAAGTTGGGTCAAGCTAGACGAACTAAGGAAGAGAAACTGGCGCATCAACTGAACGAATTAAAACGGGCTGGTTTCTGAAATGAATATATATAAAAAATCATTTTTTTCTATGAATCGAACAAAAACTGTAAATAAGACTTAGTTAAATTAAACGTTACTGTGAATTTAAATTTCTAGCATTCGTGATTACCAAATCTAATGTGGCTAGAGGATTTTGACTGAGGATTTTGGCTGGAACGTATTTCCATATATGAAAACGTGTTACATTTAATTTGCTTCTTACGCTGCTTAAATTAAATTGAAACCGTGTAGCATTCCAGAATTGATACACACAAGTGGCGCTAAACAAAGTGGTTAAAAACCAAGAGTGCTTTAAAATTTGATGGAATACTGATGAATTACTGTACTGTATTCCGGACAATTTAATAAGATAAAAAAGCAATCTAGTGAACATTTAAAAGAAATTAAGCTCGCGTTAAAACTCGTGTAATAAGTTCAATTCAATGAGCACTTATTCCATAGTGAAAATAATGGCTTTAATTATGTTAGTTTTGCACAAGCGACACGTACTATCGCGATCAATTTTGACAGAGATACGTTTTTTACTCTGTAAATAAATGTGCAGGAATGTAATTAAAATCGACTTTTGAAAATTTGCTATTCAGACGTTACTTTTAATTATTTATCCTGTTGCTGTTCCTAATGTAACATAATGAGATAAACTGTATAGATACAATGAAAAATCAAAAACAAAAATATTGAGCTTGAGGAACCCTTTAAACCCTTTTCCTTTCGACTGTATTTAAAAACAAATAGAGAGTGAGATTGATAATATAATATTTATCGTATTTCATAACATTTATTATTAAAAATTTATTATCGATCAATTCATAAAACGAACTGAAATTTAGATATCAACAAATATGATTATTGCACATTTACATATGAACATATTGTGTGTACATATATGAACATATTTGTATGTATGTATGTGTATGTAACACACACACATACACACACATACAGCTTTACCATCTTTGTAAAAATTGGCAATATTGCTAACTAGTGAAACACGATTAGGCGTGCATTTACATCAGAGTATAAAAATAATACATCAGTTAAGCAGCTTTCACCTCTGTTAAATGTATTATTCAGTTCATCAATGGCAATTGACGTTTCTAATCGACAACAACAATGAACACACGTCCATGCAAAATTACACTTCTCTTTGATATCGCCATCTCTTCTTTTGAAATTCTTTGTTTTCGATAGTGGCAGTATATTTGTAATACATCGGTAGTTTGATAATTTACAGTGAATTCTATCACGGATCTACGAAGGAGATCATGATGTAACGTGTACCCGCAGTCACTCGCAAGCCCTCATGATAATGCGTTAATCTTCCAGGATGCATCAACATCCAGCCTGGTTTTGTATCGGTGACTGAACAGTTGTACCGGATGAATCTGCATCCACCGCCTTCGTAATCCACTCCTGCTTGATTCAGAGCGATGTTGATAGTGTAAGTCGAAGAGTCGTGATGTGGTCTCAGGGATGGTTGTTCGTCTGGACGATACCTCACGACGAAGTTCATGAGCGATCGTGGCGGCTGTCGCAATACAAAATTGGTAAAACATATAATTCCAAAATAATATAACAATAGATCATTTTAAATGATTTGTTGATTTAATCTATATACAACGCAAAGATCCCAATCACTTTCTACGAAGCGGTATAATCCAACTAGTCAATCCTATGTTTAGCAAGTGCATGTACCATTGCAAGATCTGTGCGCGTTAAGATCACCTTATACCCAGATTTTTAGAATCTTACGTAATCATCATATCCTGTAAAGACACGCTCTTGTAAAGGACTGACATAATCTTTGAGAAACTTTAACCAGGCATCCTGGAGACCGACTTGGTTCATATGAATATCGCGAGTTGGTACCGCTTCGTATCCGGAGTCCAATCGAGGATCCTAAAAAAACCAGCACACATAAATGAAGCTTACGTCATGATAATAGCCGGTGAAGACAAGCTCCTGCAATGGTCTAACATATTCTTTCAAGAAGTACAACCACTGTTGTTCATATTGAACTTGATTCATGTGGATGTCACGAGTTGGTACGTTTTCGTAACCACCCGATAATCGTGGATCCTGCCGAGAAAGTTATTACACAATACAAGAGATTAATAATTAATAATACCAAACATTAAACATTAATAATACCAAATTGGTCAACGATAAAAAATATGATGATTTTAATATAAGGTTATTTTGGGAAAGTATCAACTTACGTGATTAGTCCCGTCCGACCACTGTCCATAAGTCTCTACGATTCCTACGAGTTCCTTGGTGAACCTGAGATTAACGATGGGAAACCAATAGACATCCGGACATGGCTGCAAACAGTGAAGTTGAGTAGAAAATAATAAAAAGTGACATTTTAGAAAAATCTTTCATGAATAACTAATCGGATCATCTTTACCTGTATCGGTTTCTTGTCGGGATTAAAATTGTCACTGTAGTTCGGATGAATGTATCTTCTTTCCCAGTCTAGCTTGTTGTCCACAATCTGATACATGTCCGGATAGGTGAGTTGAATGTCATAAGTATCAGGATCAACGAGATGACCAAACTCGAGTCTGTTGCTAACATACATGAATAGGCCTCTCCGCCGATTTCCATGAGCGAACGCCATCTCCGTGTCCAGGTCGTCATTCTCGTAGGTTGGTCGGGTCGCTTTGTTCGCTATGATCGTCGCGTTGATCAAGTAGCAGTTACTGACGAACGGCACATTCCACAGTCCCCTGAAATAAACGTCACGGTGATTCGGCGAATTGCATATCGAAAGAGCGCGTCGAAGAAGATGTGCAACGAGCGCAACGAGAGCGGAGAGCACTTGTTTGCCCCATGGCCGGGTACATCGTGTTGTTTTCCGGAGGTCGTCGCTTAAGTGTTTTGTAAGGTGATCGTAGTGATAGCAGCGATTGGCCGTTGAACATACTTGGCAATGAGTTATGCATAATTATCCAATTGAGATTCATAACTCTGTCGCACCAGCGTGTGACTGCGCGTGTCCATCGCGCGTCGCCTCGTGGTTTCATTCGTATCTTAGGTGGTAGGAACTGGCGGATCCGGTCTCCGCGATACGCTCGTGTTTGAGATCGGCCAAGTCTTCTGTATTCTCTGGTAAGGGTAGCGAATGCCTGTGCACGTCGATGAATTTACTTCGCGCGCGATTATATTTGCCGATCGGCACATTATCGTCCGCGGTACGCGGATCATTCATCTCATCATATCGAATTTCTCACGATCGAATAGATATAATAGTATAATATAATATTTATATATATATATATATAAAAGAGTGATAGATAATGATCTATAATGGTGACAATGAGTTCGCGATAGAAATATAAAGTGCTCGCGATGCGGTCCGCGTGCTTTGTTTTAAGTCGCTCTCCGCAGTCGTCAAGCTTCTCTGGTTATAGATCAAATGACGAGATGCCGGCTACTCTATTTGCTCCTATTAGCGGCCTTAATGATAAGCACAGAAGCAGCGAAAGGCGGCGGAGGTAGAGGGAGAGGTCGCGGCCGAGGAAGAATGTACGGCTCGCGGACACATATCCTGATACCCAACCGTAATCCCGCCAGTACGCACTATTACGAGAACAAGGATGTGAGTTCACAAGGATTTGTGTATCTGTATACGATGAGCGCAGCTCGAAACTTAGTGATAATCATTTGCTGATTCGCAGGGTGCCAAGATCGTGAAGGCGTCCCACTTTGAGTTGGATTACATGCTGGGCAGAAAGATCACGTTCTTCTGCATGGCGATCGGCGTCCCGAGACCGGAAATCACTTGGCTAAAGGACGGAATCGAGTTGTATCATCACAAATTTTTTCAGGTAGGCTAATCCATCGTTAAGAGAAGGATTTGTCCGTCCTAGAAGGAACCTTTGTTGTTAAAAGAGAAAATGTTTTCTTGGATGATCGCGAATATTGGAAACGTTTGAATTGCCAGGTGCACGAATGGCCTGTTGGCAATGACACGATAAAATCGAAGATGGAGATTGATCCTGCGACGCAGAAGGATGCGGGATATTACGAGTGCCAGGCGGATAATCAATACGCTGTCGATCGCCGAGGTTTCAGAACGGACTACGTCATGATCTCGTATTAAATGCCTTCTCTGGTAGCTCCGCGATCGCCATAACATTAGAACGAATAATATCCTGTGTGAACAATAGATATAGACATTTGTTATTAAGAATTTGCTATATGATAGATTTTTATCTAATAAGCAGTTAGTTATTGTTCATAATCCCAATCTAATCTAACGCGAGAAAGAGCTCCTAAGATATAAAAAAATCAATTCAACTTTTTACGTGAGATCAACAGTGTAAAATGTCATAACTAATTTTTTTTTTTTTTTTTTACATGAGTAAGACAAACTTCCTCTTCGTTCGAATCGTCAATAGGATGTAGAAGATACCGAATGTAAATTCGTCGGTTCTCCCCCCAATTCGTTAAAGCGTGATTATACCCTGTTACAAAGAGTACACGAGGAATATATCGAAAATGATCCATCACTGTGAATTTAACAAGGCAATTGTGTCGCGCCGCGCGAAAGTGCCATGGAAGGGCATACCTCGCTGCGTCATCATCAACGAACGCAATAATCTGTAGCACAGAGTAAAATAAATAATTTGCATGAACATTATATAAAATATTGCATTACCGTTATTGTTACGTTTATCATCCTCTATACAACTTTCGTTTCTCGGCTCTAATTCTTGAACTACGTGCGAATAATACACTTTTGCAGATTTTATTTAGGAAGAAGTGCTTTATCGGACAGCTAATTTGCAAGTGACCTGTAATGGTGAATTACACCGGAAATCCAAATCATCCGGAAGGAATGGACAAATGGTTAAATTAATAGATAAGCGGTCTGCAGATTTGATAGGAATTGATGGCGATCACATAGTGCAAAGGAATAACCGCTGTGCATATAGCCCGACATGCATTTATCTACATATAAGTCTGTAATAGATACGAGAGGATACTAGGGGAGTAATGAGTAGGTGACTGTCAGTTACATCGGAGTTCCGTGTGATTGACGAACGTTGGTGCATACAGTGAGTATCCTCCACTCGTTTCGATAAATATATATATCAAGTGCCAATTTTTCAGTGTCCATCTCGCGTTTTCGTGCAAATCACAATAATTGAAATTCTACTTGAGATTCACGGCTGTGGCATTAATTTCGATCGTTCCGATCCGTAATCATGAAAGAAACAATCTGCAGAAAATTTGAAAATTGTGCGAAGCGTGTCTTAACGTTCAATTTCATTCCACTTTTAGATTATCATGTCACGCTCTATGTTGTTGCTAATCCTGCTGGGTATATTGTTGCTCAATTGTCAAGAGACACTTGGTCGGAGAGGACGAGGAAGAAGCAGGAGTAAATCTCGCGTGCAGATCGGATTGCCCATTACCGGGAAGTATCGTGACCCGGAGAGCGATCAGTATTACAACAATCACGATGTACGTAGAAAGAAAGATTGATTAAGAGGAACTTCCAGTACTTTTCCATCGCGTTCATCATTTCTAGGAAAAGATCAATGATGTGATTTGCGATGTAATCATGATCGTGATTATGTATGTTAATTCTTTTAGGGAGCCAAGATACTGCTGGCGTCGCATTTCGATCTGGAGTACGTTTTGGGACACAAAATAGCTTTTCTCTGCGTCGCTCGCGGCAATCCGCGCCCGCACGTTACGTGGTTCAAGGATGGCGCCGAGATTTACACGCATCACTATCTACATGTCAGTATGAAAATAAGTATATTCTCTAAAAGAGGGAGATTGTAAAAGTTGTTAACTCGAAGAAATCTCCGAGACCAGATGAGCTTATAATCAATAATAAATTTATATTTCATTCTTGTTTTTTGCAGATACACGAATGGCAAGTTGGAACTGACAAGGTGAAATCGAAACTCGAGATCGACCCCGCTACTCAGATGGACGCAGGAGTTTATGAGTGCACAGCGGACAATATGTACAGCATCGATCGAAGGTCTTTCAAGACTGACTTCTCCATCGCTTTTGATTAATGCGAGCATTGATACGTGAGATTAAGCAAATATATGCAATTAGATAAAAGATACGTAAAGAGTCCAGGTAATATGTAAAATTTTTACGATAACTCTAAAGACGATAGATTTTAAGAAAACAATTTAGAATATATATCATTATTGTACAACTCGCAGAAGGAAATCCCCCTAATCCGGAATGTGAGAAATTATTTTCAATTCTATTGCAAAACGTAGTGTTGAAATAAGTATCTATCTGGAATAATAATAATAATAATAATCTGTGCTTTCTTTCTTCCTTAAACATACGATTGTAGTTTATTCAAGCGAAAAATATAGAGGATTGTTATTTGTACATTCGTTTTACCTGCGTTCGTTTTTTATTATCTCCATATAGTCGAAACTCCGCGCGTAAAATCCATCGTCTGTTATGGCGCCCCAGAAGTTGCTCCATGCTTTGTACGGTCGTATGAGCAAAGGCGCGACGATCCCCCTTTGCTGTTCCACCAGTAACTTCAGCGTGTACTCGTTGTCCAAATGCGAAACTGCGTCAACAGACAAATACCCGGAACACTCCTTCAACAAGCAATGCTCCCTGTGAAACAGACCGCACTTTAACATTTCTCTAAATATCGCGCGCCCTTTCACTCGTTTCGACATTAAAAACAGCATCGAGCCTTTAGATATATTCGTGGAATTACGAGTTCTTTACGCTTACATGGCCAATTTTCTCGCGTCAACCTCACTGATGGCGTCGCTCGGTAATATCTGCTTCGCGCTCAAATATTCCTGACCGATCTTCTCGAAAAAGTCATCCACTACGTCCTCGTGATAGGGCACGTTGTTGTGAACAAACAGATGCAACTTCGATTTTGGGTAAAATTGACGATAGATAGCCCGGAAGAATTCTTCCAAAAACGGCGTGGGACGCTCGATGAAAATAGCTATTAAAATAACCGGAAACGTTTCCGGCTCAGTCTTATCGAGCTCTATAGTTCGATCCCAGCACGTCAAGCATCCCTCGTCCGGCGTCCAGGCGCGAGCCAGATAATTGCCCAGAGAATTTAAGACCAGCTTGCTGAATCCGTTACCATGAAGTATCAGGGGCACCGTATTGTAGACGATGTTTTGTAGATAGGCTTCTTCTCCCTTGAACCTGAGTTCCACATCAGCTGCAAAGAAATGAATGATAATGATTATCAAAGTACAATCACTAAGGAAAGACGCTTTCTCGCCGCAGATTTCGCTTGCCTCCTCACCTACCGCACCGTTGAGATTCTGAAATATTTTGGATTTATGATCCAGCTTGATCTTATGTCGCGTTCTAAGCTCATCGTTTAGGTACGCGTTTGTGTAGTACAGTTGATCATCGTCCTCATCTTTAATAGCTTCAATATTTAGGATTTTGTACACGTCGGACGCGTAACCGATGAAGCCACCGGAATTCAGGTATCGTTTGCCCCTCGATACGGGCGGATAGCGCGCAGCCAGGGATTTATCCGGCCAGCAATACGCCTCCGCGGAAAACAGAATTCGAGCATCGATGTTCAGGAATCGCTCGACGATGGCGGATAAACCGCCGAGAAAAATAACGTCATAACTAAAAGTAGAAAATATACAAAATATTATAAAATGTCTTCTCTGCAGCTTTCAGGATGATGTACACACCTATCGGTGAATAGGATGATTTTCTTTTCATCGTCCTGGTAATCCTCTAAGGCTTTCTTGAGGAGATTAATTTTGTATCCACCGCCGGCATAATTCACGACGTTACCACCTCTCCAGGGGTTGCCCAGCCCTAGGACGTTCAATTTATCACGAAATCCGTAGACCTCGGCCGACCTCAAATATCTTTGGAAACCATCCGTCCCATTGGAGGCGACGGTAAAAACGAGGACATCTAAAAGGAAATATATATATATATATATTAATTGTAAGATGAAGATATGGAGATTTCACAGAGAGAATTATCACGGTTCTTTGCAAAATCATTTTTTTGTCTTATCGAAGAGTAAATTACGAAGGGGAGGAAGATAAAGCTTAAATCTGAAAGATCGTGCCTCGGGGATGACGTTACATCGATTTCATTATTACTTGCAGCCGGCGAACTCGTTTACGCCGAGCTCATGATGTCATTCCGGAGAAATAGCGCCCACGAGAGCCGCGGCACGCACGCCGGCTGCACGCTGACATTGCGAAAGAAAGAGAGAATACACGCGTCTCCAGCGTTTGTGTTACTGAGCTGTCGATACACTTACGCAAGCGAGTCGAGATATTCTTAGAACGGGCAATGTAAGCACACAGTTGGAAGTTTGAGGAAATATTTTTACCCCCTTCAGGGGGATTTCACTCTAAAAAAATATTATTTATTAATAGAACGATTAATGATAGAAGTATACGTTTTAATAAGAGATTAATGGTTAATAAGAGATTTAAGCTAAAATTTGATAAAAAAGTAATTGCTGAGATCTTTGATAACACTAGGTCGATTGATAAAATATGTATCCTCTCTTCTGTTGAGGAGCAAAAAGCGAGATTAGAAAGAGAGAGATTTTAATCAGTCTATTTCTATCAATATTAACTTTGATCTCGGTTTTATTTATTTTCTATTTTTTTTTTTAATTCTTAGAGTTAAAAAAGATAGAAAATAAAATGAAATTGAGATTAAAGTCTACTGGTAGCGTGAATATAAAACGTATATATGTCCTTTACCTTTTATAAGAAAACAAAAAATTAATATAAAATCATATAAAATTAAAAAAACGTATTTAACGCAACGTATTTAACGACAAGACACGTTGGTCTAGCAATTATCTCAATTGGGAATAAAGAAAGGTTAATCTTGAATTTGGTAAATTTTGTGAAACATCGTTGCATCAAGAAGTTCATTCAAGATTAAGGCATCTCTCGCGGCTGCTCGTGCGATGAGCAACGCCGGAAATGGAATGATAAGAATCGTGCACTCGATCCAGTTACATGCTCGATTGAAAGAATGAAGTCGAATTAATTAAATCAGTTCATGTTCCACAAACGAAATGCTAAACGTCACGTATTCGTTCACTGCTATTCAATACTTGATGAGACTTAATACACACAAATCACATAGATATTTTATCATTACAGTTGTACAGTTGCTGTTATGATAAAACTAAAGAGCATCATTAAAATTATTCAAGCAACGATTAAAGACTGATTACGCAATACTCTGTTTGAGATTATGCGATAGCTTTCTTGATCCCATCTTTACTATTCCTTGAGTTAATGTTTATTCGCAAAAAAATGTTTTCGAAAAATTCGATTATTCCGACGTATGAAAACCAATTAAAATGTTCCCTCTTTCAAATATTGATAACTTTTGTTCTATGGGAGATAGAAACATTCTGTAAAATCCTCGACAATTATTAATGCAGTCTTTAGCATTTTAATTTGAATAAACTGACGTTAGTGAAGGTAACGAGGCGAATAAAGTGTGCCTTGCGGACGAAGAAAATTATTTCAGGCACATCTCGCTTCATGGAAGAACAGAAGCCAAAACTCGTCGACAAACGTTAACCATTTCTCTACGCCATGCTTTCTGACAAATAAATAAATAATTACGTTACTCTCTGTCGATTTTGATTTATTTTTTAGGAAAATCAAGGATACAATCGCGCCTAAGGTAAGACTTCCTAGAATGAATGTCTACATTTAATCCTCGGAAATTTATCTAAATTTTAATTATGCTCGTACTCATCTTGGATTAATATGAGCCAAATTAAAAATTTTTTAAATTTTCGTGCTTTAATAAAACCAATCAGCAAAGTAAACACAGACAAAAAATATTTTTTTCATTTTAATCAAAAATTTGTTGCAATAAGCAACAAAATAGAACGTTATAAAATATAAAGTGTTGAAAATTCACTCGGGTCAACATGACCTGATACGAGTATTCAAGGATTAATCGATGCGTGATGCATGTCCTAAAAAAAAGAATAAAAAAAAAAAAGAGAGTGCCGCGGTAAAAACAAAAAAAGAGAACTCGTGAAAGAATTTTTCATGTTATTCAACTTCTCATTGCGTTGATTCTCGTTTAATACGCTTTTGACAAAACCCTTCGTTGTATTCTTTCTTTTTTCATTGATAATAAAATATCTTCAATTAAACAGTTCTGTTAAAGAATTTTTTGTCAACACATAATGATACATATGTAATAAATCAGGCTTTCTCAATTGCACTTCTAACTTTCCCTCTTTGCTTGCCTCCAAAATATATATATATATATATACATATATATATATATATGGAAATACTTCGTCGTAGAAAATGTAACATGAGCGGCCGAAGATAAACCTAATGGTTCACATGCAACCAGGTAGATTCTACGTCCAAAGGAAAGCATCACGAGGGAAGGGGGAGGGGGAGGGGGTTCTTTCCCCCAATTCTTAATATAATAGTTTTTAGATTTCTCTTGTCGTTTGAAAAAATCGAACGCAGTTCCGAGAACGGTCTCCCTCTCTCATTTTTTTTTCTCTTTCTCTCTTTGTATCGATCTTCGTCGCGACATGCCGACGCGGATTCATCCGCGTTTTGGTCCGAAAGGGCGATCGTGTCATACCGTTAGCGCCGGCCGCTGGTGTCTCGCTGACCACGTGGTACGTCAGGAAGACGCAGCACCACACGAGCCAGCATCCGATCGTCGTCCCCTTGTTGCCGTACATCTCACGTTTTCCCTTTCTCTCTCTTTCTTACGAGCGCACTGACTGACAGAACCCCCAGGGTGATCCGCACCGCTTGTCGGCGACACACATCAACATCCGTCACTTGGCGTCGCTTGACGCGGACTGGGCGCCGCCGCGGCGCGGACTAAAGACCGATGGAAACCATCGGTGCAGAGCCGTAATTAGAAATTGCGGTGCCCGTGACGTTACCTTTAGCATGATGCACAGGCAAATTGTTTGCAATATGTGTTAATAGAGTGGCAGCAAATTCAATTTAGAAATTGCTAGCGGAATAAATAGCATGAGTTAAATCATGCTTTGCACGATAGAACCTGCTGTGACACATTTAGACTGCAAATTAGTGGCAGAAACCGCAGATTCCGCATTGTTCTTGCCGCGGTAATTTACGGTACACCATATAACAAGTATGCCAAGATTGCTTCTGTCATTAATCTACCGTCACATTTTGTAGACAACTTTGCTATATCTCTGCTAACAGCATTATATACAGTGTGATCTAAAGCAATCCCTTTGAATCAGATGTTGTATCATAAAATATGTAGTTTTTCTATTGATAAAATTTGGAACGGATAGAGGAACAATTCCAACTAGATTCGGGTATTTGCGATTGTAATTTTGAAGAGGAAACCTAGAAACATGAACGATTGACATGTATGGCGGGGGCTTGCCATTTTTTAAATAAAGAATGAAGAAAATCATGAAAAATTATTCCCTAAACAATTCGCACGTGACAGCCAGTTTTTACCGATTCCCTCAGATTCAGTCGTTAATCATCACATCACCCGTCAATATTTCATCATTGTTGCAGAAAGATTAAGCATCACATTCCCTCATGTTTTTAGAACAATTGCAAGAAAATGTATCACTCATCAAGATTTCGTAGCGATGGCGAGAAGATCGAAAACATCATGCTTTAATGTATCTGCAAAAATCAATTTAACGTCCATATGATCTTGTAATATGAATTACTGATGCTATTATTCGATTAAAAAAAAATTCATAAACACATGAAGTACCTTCTTTGCATTCCGAAAATAAAATTTTAGCAGCGATGTATTGTAATTAACAACGCAAATATTAAAAGATACCTATTATATCCAAGTCTGATGCGCAAGATTTCTTCGCTGGTCTGTATCGCTCGATGATGGATTTGTTATCCGAAAGATCTTCTTGGCACGAGAGATTGTTCGAGAGTATGTAAACATCATGGCTTAACTTCGTCTTGCATACTCCCTCATTTCCTGTTGCAAGTTGATCTTCATGGTACAGTAGCAGAACAATCAATAGCATCAGCCTACCCGAGACACCCCGTGTTCTCATATCGTTCAATCGTTATCAAGAAAACGTTTTATCAAAGCTTATCTCGATTACTTAATTCAATCACGTCAGAATTTTACTGTCGTTACACTGCAACTTAACGTACACTTAACTTATCGTGAAATTATTTTACTATTTCATGTATCTTAAACGATTATTTGATCTATGCATTCCCATGTTTACTTTAACATTTATCTCGATGTATTTGTCGATAAAGATGTTTGTTTTAGCTTTTCTAGCTTTTAAAAGTCTACGAATATCGCAGATAAATATTCGATATCGCCGTGCGGTCGTACTGAGTCACATCGATCGGTACCAAAGGATTTGGACATTTATAAGAGAAAGCGGGGGACTTGAAAGCGAGACGGTCGATGGTTTTTGTGGTCAAAAAGAGCGGCTAACCGTCGCACCGTGTCGACGGTTTTGTTCGTGCGATTTCCTATTCCGGATGAACACAGCACCATCGATCCGTGAAGATCCACAGCGAAACGTGAATGAAGCAGTATGATTTGTCCTGCAAACGACATGTATATTTATGTTATTATGAAGTAAATGAAAATCTGTCTTTGTTTCTATAGTAAATTTGTTTTCTCTCTTTCCTTTAATACAGGTAGATTTTCACCGAGCATATGAGTATTTCTATGCGTATTTTTGAAAAAGAAACTAATAATATTTTTGAAAAAGAACCTAATATATTCTTCCAAACGCGTATGTAGGTAATTAAGTTACGTGAACGAGCCGAACTAATGCCCAACAAATCGAGTTAACTGGCAAAGTAATACGATTACTGGAGCAGCGGAGTAGACGATCCTGAGGCTTCTTTTGTGTTGTCGGAAATCGTTCGACAGTTTTCACATGTCGAACGTCGGTCGCGTTTGGTTTCCACACTTTCTGAGGCGTTGGTGAAACTTTGTGTCACTGACAGGAAGAGAAAAATGGGTAAGGAAGACGCCGAGACTACGGCTTTGAAGAAAGAACTAGAGGACCTTATCAACAAATGCAAGGTTTAAAATATTTTATCATATTATACAATCGAATGATTTATCTATTATATAATTGTATTATATGATTGTATAATTATAAACTATTACCTTTTATTCGTACCTTTCTACTACGTTTTATTCGCTTCATTAGGAAGAACAAAAGAAGCAGCAGGATACGACATTGGAACAAGCGTGCGGTGGAGTTGCTGATGCTCCGAAAGTTAGACTGTCAACTAAAAAGCTATTGAAAGGGCATATTAATAAAGTCAACTCGGTACACTTCAGTGGTGATAGTCGGTCAGTTTCAATCGATAGCACTTTTGAAATTTATCTTATCCTTACTTTGTCCTTACATTTTTCCTTTCACTTAAATCCATATAGTGGATCCTTGATGGATCTTTCAAAATTTATTATATCTTGAGGATCTTTTATACTCGGAACGATGAATAGTCTTATAAACCGCGCTTTTACGTTGTAGACACTGTGTAACCGGATCATTAGACGGGAAGTTGATCATCTGGGACACGTGGACCGGCAACAAAGTGCAGGTCATCCCGTTGCGTTCGGCCTGGGTGATGTCGGTGGCTTTCGCGCCGACCGGCAATTTCGTCGCGTGCGGTGGAATGGATAACATGTGCACCGTCTATGACGTGAACAATCGTGACGCCACGGGATCTGCCAAGATCATGAGAGAGCTTCTGGGTTACGAGGGGTTTCTGTCATCCTGCAGGTTCCTCGATGACAAAAAGATCATCACTGGATCCGGCGATATGAAAATGTATCTAATTACGTAATGTTTAAGGATAAGATAAGCGGTAATTTCATGAATAATCATCGGTAGCAAATGCCTTGTATGTGTATCTAGTTGCATATGGGATCTCGAGGCCAATAAGAAAACGACGGACTTTGAGGCGCACGCGGGCGACGTGGTGAGCATCAGCCTGTCTCCCGACGGCAACACTTACGTCACCGGCTCGGTCGACAAAACCTGCAAACTGTGGGACTTGCGGGAAGAGAAAGCCAAACAGACATTCTTTGGTCATGAGGCTGACGTAAACTCCGTTTGTGTGAGTGTTTGGCACATTCTTCAGATACTCGACGGATTCGTTGCAGATTTAATAAGCGTGTTATCGGCCAATATCACAAATCATCACTTTGTTCTAGTATCATCCCTCCGGACAAGGTTTCGTAACAGCTTCCGAGGACAAGACCGCGAGACTGTGGGACTTCAGATCCGATCAACAGTTAGCCACCTTTAAGCCGCCGAGCTCGAACCCTGGATTTACATCGTGTGGTTTGTCTTTGAGCGGCAGAATCATATTTTGCGGCAGTGACGACAATTCTATTCATATATGGGATACGTTGAAAAATCAACATAATGGTGAGTTTGTCCACCGTGAGGAAGAATACTAGTATTATGAAAATGATTATGTCAGTAAAATACTTTTCTCTTTTCTTTTCTCAAGGTGTCTTATCTGGTCATGAGAACAGAGTGACGTCGCTCAGTGTCTCTGGCAATGGGATGGCAGTGGTCAGCTGCTCCTGGGATCAGCATGTTCGAGTTTGGGTGTGAATATATGTAACATATTCAATTCATTATGTTACAAGGAAGACAAAAAGAGCCAGAGCTGTCGAAGCAATCGATAAGAAAAACACGCTCTGAACAAGATGTATTACTAAAAATATATTGATGTTGTCAATCGATTTTTCTTTTCACGAAGCTTGTGCAGCAATTAACTTCTATCATCTTAATTAATTTCTACTATCAAGTTGCTGCCTTTAGTCTATAATTATGTAATTGATCCTAATCCGCGTTAAAATGGATTTACAATTTGCGTCCATTAAAAATTAAGAGATAGAAGAAACATGAACTTTTTCAGTGACATGAATTCTAGATTTAGAAATCCTGCATGTTAGAAATAAATGTTTACTTAATGAGTAATTGCATTAAATACGTGAGTTGTATAAAATCTAATAAAAATTTCCTTACCGTTCTTTAAATCGCAATGTGGTGAGAAAAACATTTATTAATTTCGCGAAACATACTGCTTAGTGTTGGCAATGCGAGTCGCAGTTGCATAATTTATTTCTACAACATAGACATATTACACGATTCCTATCGAATATGCTGCAGAAGAGTGCGTTAAAAAAATTGTATTGTGTCTTGAGAATTTACTTACTAATGCGGTACAATAGAGATTTGGTATATCGATTAGGCGTGAAGCGCGGGCGTCAAAAATACTGTATTCTCTTCTCTCAAACGGTGAATATCATTACCGCGATTATACAGCGTACTTCATACATTATTTGTTCTCGTGAGCATTAACCTAGGCCAGTCTAGCGACGTATATGTGACACGTGACGAAACGTTTAAAACTTATGTTATACTAATTAAGTCTTTTACAGTGCGTCACAAAATTGTCATAGCTGTGCCCAGCAAATCTACAACGAATCTTTTCTTAGATCCTAAATATAAATAAACGTATCTATTAAACAATCATTTATACTGTACACATTAAGCGTTAAACGTTAAGAGATAATTAAAATCTTAATTATTCTCTAATACATAATGTTTTTGATGAAATCCTTCAACGGCTAAACGCACATGAGGGAACTTACTAGAGAATCTAACATAAATATACAGCGTGACTTTGACGGAATTGAAATATTAATCTCGAAAAATCTCTTACCACAATCATGTTAACGGCACATTATATATACAAACAGTTCGATGTGGGTGATGTGAAACGGAAGAAACGCAAGTTCATGAGAAATACTTTTAGAAACGAACGGGTTAAAATCCATCCAGATGAACGAGCAGGGCGACGATTACCGTGGCGCCGGCTTCTTTGGTGGCCCACTTGCTGGACTCGCAATGGAGATCGGTACTGTCCTTATCGCTAGGACTAATTGTATATGAGCCAGGTCTCACCAGCAATTGAAACGCGGTCGATGCGTTCAGTTTTTTATTCGATTGAGTATCGATATATCTACAAAATTAAAAATTAAATTATAACATATAGTGGATACATAGAATGCGTAAAAGCTGATACTTACGGGTACTTTCTCGTAAATTCATCAGACGCTGCGTACTTTATACTGGGTGAAAACGATACCTGAGGATTTTGATCTTCACTCTTTGTACCCGCCGTCAAATTACTGACGTCCAGTTGTTCTTTGGTCATTAGCTCTCCTCTATCCAGGATCAATCTAAATGTACACAACGTTAATTAAAAATAGAACCGAAGAAATTTAATCGTTGAAAGATGATCATTTGCATTACCTTATTGCGTCCAGACGTATACCATAAAATGCAACATGCCACTTGTCCGTTGTGTTCTGCGGAATCTGATTAGCATTGATGCTCTGCTTCAGCGGGAACCTGGCCCAACCAACTGGTATCGCGAATTCCGCCGGCGGCTCGCCCTTCTTGCAGATCGCATTGTCGCCGTCCACTTTGTAACACACACTGCAGTAGCATAGTATCTCGTCCGTGGAAAAAAATTCATCCGGTAAAACGAGTGATTTCTTTAGCTGCATACACGCTCTCAAGTAATCGCATTTCCTAGATAATGCGACGACAGTGGACCCGAGTGGAGTGGACGGTAACGATGACGGCATTAATGGTATCGAGGACGCGTTGTACACGTCCCGTTGATTAGCCGTCGTATTCTGGCTCGGAAGTATGTTCCCGTTGAAGGAGTTGTCACGGATTGACGCGGCGTTGTCTCGGTTCCCATAGGACCGCGACTCATGAAAGCCAGAGCAGGCGTTGTTGGGAAGATCCGACAAATTGCATTGAGCGCTGCTTACAATATTGACTTGACTATTGGACGCTATACTTTCGTTAATCGCGTTGTTGGCGTTCGTCGCGGTAATCGCTGCGTTCAGGCTGGTCATGTTACTCGCACTGGCGACCATACCTTTTTGTATATTAATATTAGTCGCGTTGTTTATCTCTACGTTTGTACACAGCGCGCGACTTCCCGCGTCAAGATTCGACTCGCTCGAGTTGTTTTCAGGTTGCTTATTCAATGTCGGTGGTACGACGTTGTCTAGATAAACTCTGTTCTTGACGCTTCGCGCATCATTGCTCAACTCCGAGCCTGAATCCGAATTGTTACTATCAATACCCGACGCCGTTTTGGTGCTTACACTATTATTCGCCAGAGTTGTACTATTGTTGTTACCAAAAGACGAGTATTCGGCTTCAATGTTATCATCCCTAGGGTTCGAACTGCATTGACTCGGTACACTTGGTGATGTCGAGGATGGTGAGAGATCCGATGAGGTAGTTGCCATTGCGTTTTCCTTTTCGTGACACTCCAGATCGGCTTTCTCGCGCGAATTTTCCACATCCTCTACTTCCACGTTCGCACACTCGATAGGAGCCGCGAGTGCATTGTCAATGGCAACGTTCGTGTAAGAGGACTCTTCGTTGATCCCTGCAATGGATACTTGCTCGCACTGTCCGTACAGATCAATCACAGCAAAAATATACGGTGGTAGATCGGTCGCGGCTACTCCTTGATCCACGTTGTTGATGAATAAATGTAGTCGATTGTCTTCATCAATCAGCAAACCTACAATGGAGTTGCATTGAAGATTTTCCAAGCCAGCGCCGTACCTCGTCTTCACTCTCGTGCCATTATGAAATATCCAGTCACTGCAGATGATCCACGAGTGCCTCTTAAAACCGAGCGCGGTTAACGGAAAGCTTGTTTGTTTCTCCGGCGATATGCAAGAAACACCACAGAGTATATTAGATACCCAACGTTCATTTAACTTTCTATTCTAACTTGGAACGGCTTGCCCTTTATTAATGGACGACTAGACATCACTACACCTTGGTTGTAACTGGCCACTCGTTTGGCGATCGTTTTCGTTTCAAGCTGAATGTTTCTGCCATGGTTCTCGTGAAATTCGTAATTCCAGTCTCCATCGTTAGTGGTCAGACCAGTGACAACGGCTTGTGTCGGCGTGAGTGTCACTTCATTAATGAGCTTTCCTTCAGAGACATCAATGGATGTATCCATTCCCGCGTCGTTTCTTGGTGGCACCGGATCTAACAGGAGTTCCAATGAATCCTGCAGCCTCAAACTAGCATTAGGGGATATAGCAGCAGGATTTTGCTGCCTGCTGCTAGTAATGTTCACGGCCACGGTACTACCAAAGAGCTCGATTACCGCGTACACCATCTCCGGTATGTCAGATGCCGCCACACCCATGTCCTCGCCATTTACGTAGAACTTGAGGTTGCCCTCGTGCGTGCGTTTCACGCCGATCTTATCACCTACCCGTAACCAATCCAGACTGGTACAGTAGTTCGAGGCGAGTGCGAAACCCATATGTCTCACCTCGTTACCCGTTAGGTACCAGGCATCGCTGGGAATGGATGTCATACCAGGTACGAGATTCATTGACGTCAACCAATTGCCCGTTTCGTTACTCAGGATACCTATCCTCAAGCAACCGCTCCACTCACGTGCCACTTCCTGGATGGCAATCTCGAACAACTCGTTATTCTCCAGCGCTGCCTCGCTCAATAACACGGCGTTATTGTACTCTCTGCATCTGGTCGCCACTGTTCTATCACCATTCAGTTGAATGTTTAGACCAACCGATTCGTGGAATTTGTGTAGAATCTCCGTTTGCACTTGGGGCTGAATTACTGAGGTCGGCTGTTGGCTAATACTGTTCTCGGATGCCAGATATTGTTGCGTCAGAGGATCTCTACGTTCAGGCAACACGATCGTCACCTAAAATATATTACTTGACGTTAAATATATGCCGAAACAAGATTATTTTTATCATCGAATATCTATATATTTTATACCTGTGCGCATTGACCGTACAAGTCGATAACCGGATAAACGTTTTGTGGTAAGCCCGTACAGGCGGGACCTTGATCTACTCCGTCCAAAAAATAATGTAAGGAAGAGTCTGAACACCGCATCATTCCGATCCGATTGCCTTCCATCAACTTATCCAAGTCACAACTGTAATTATTACGTAAAATAACACCGTCGCGCATCACTGTCGATCCGGAGAGCATCCACGTATCGTGATCGATATCTGTCATCGTAGACGGAAACTCTAACTCATCAGGCCTTATCACAGTGACTCCTGTAAGCAATTTTGTTCTCGAAAGATTATAGAAAACTGTTATTACATATTTGATGTATATACGTAATGACATTAAGACAGCAATTACCTGCTTCTATAGCACCGGACCATCTGGCAACCATTTTATCTATTGTTACTTCAAACATTTCACCGTCGCGTAGCGCACGATTCGCAATCACAATAGCTTCGTTGAATTCACCCAGAGCTCGCGGTCTGGACGCCGTTAATCCGTTATTCGTAATTCGTGCATTTTACCGTGTACATGATGAAACCTTAGATCACTGCCGATAGAATCACGTCAATTATTCACATGCGGCTTAGTGATAAACTGTCAATCTATCAAATCATTTAAAAAATCATACCTATACAACGTCGTATTACTAAAACTCGAGTTATTTGTAGTCGGACTGTAAAAGTCTACATTGTCGACTATAGTAGCTTGAGCAGCCTGTCCATAAAGGTCGATCACTCCATAGATTTTTTCGGGCACGTTCATCGCAGCTACACCTTGATCCGCCCCATTCACATAGAAGTGCAGGGTCGCATTATCCTTTCTCATTACACCTACGCGATCGCCGATTTGCAGACGATCCAGATTCTGGCCGTACTGATCTATCATAGTGGTACCATTGTGCATAACACCGTTACCTGTCATCATCCACGTGCCAGATCTGCAATCAACACAAGCTGCCTTCGAGCAAGAACATAAGTCTTTGAAAGAATAACTTACCATGTGCATGACTCGTGATGATAACTGTATAAAACAAAAACTTATTCAAGACCGACGTGTGATCTTACCTACCTGACGTTCGTCATGGTGAATGGAAATTCCAATTCTGTCGGGGAATGCGTAGTGACTCCTATTTCGATAGAACCGGCCCATTTCGTCACAATTTTGTCTAGTCTGACTTCGAATAGCTCATTCGGCTTCAACGGCCTTGAAGTTAATACTACACCGTTATTGAAATCATCTATGGCACTGCAAAAAATTTACATTCTTCATTAAGAAAATGCGTATGTTAGAGAACTTGTCAAATATACTGTTGTATCTATCTTTGTTTACTTAGGCCTGTGCGCTGTACGTCCATTATTGATCACGTCGGCATGTGTGCCGCAACAGGGATGAAACATCAGCCTATCAGGAAGCTCTTCTTCTCCGGCTTCTACAAAATTCACACACACACACATATATATATATATATATATATATAAAATTAATTAATTAATTTATATATATAATAAATAAATTAATTATATATATAATATTAATAAAATTCACACACACACACACACACACACACACACACACACACACACACACACCTTAATGTAACAGAAACTTTCTGTAAAAATTTTGAAAATTCTGTGCATTACCTTCGCTATCCAGACCTTGTAGCTGTAATGTATTTCTTCTAGTAACCAAATTTTGTTCTTCCCTTTCGTCACGATCAACAATAGTTACTTTCACGGTCATTCCATAAAGGTCTATTACACCCCATACACTAGCTGGTACTTTAGCAGCAACGCCTTGATCCAAACCGTTTATTAAATAATGAAGATCTCCATTACTTTGCCTAATCATACCCACACGATCTCCTTCCTAAATAATGTAACAAAAATAATGATTTCAAGGAAAGTAGATCTAAGAGGAGTTGATCATTTTCTCAGGTTTCAATAAGATTTAAAATAATTTTTAAATATAAAATTCAGATTATAGATGGCGTTATATAAATATACAGTCAGTGTTATAATTCTGGTCTTATCGTACCCTCAATTCATCTAAATTGAACTCGCCGTATTCACGTTGCGTGCCTTTGCCATTTGTTAAAATACCGCAACCAGACATCATCGTCGTGCCTGAACGCATATTGGTCATCGTTGCTGGAAATTCTAGCGCTGTAGGACTATGAGTGGTAACGCCGACTTCAATACTGCCTGACCATTTGTACACTAATCTGTCTATTCGTATCTACAGTAATTTGAAAAAAATAAGAGTGAGAAAGAACAATTTGAATATAAAAAGCAAATCGTATTCTTCTACAACTGAAGTTTATAAATACTTACTTCAAACAGTTCGTTATCTCGTAGCGGCCTGTGAGTCATCACAACACCATTATTAAATTCATCAAGCGGTCTCCGCCTCTCAGCGGTTCTGGCATTATTGGAGAGTTTCACCAGTGAGCCGACTCTCTCGTGAAACCTTAATCTATCCTCTCTTATAGCGGCAGGAGTTGGATTTTTTGGTAAATTAACATTTACATTGACACTTAGATTAACATTTAAGTTAGTGACTAGATTGGTTGTCGTGGAACTGGAGGTTTCCCCTACAGCATAATCATTATTGATCTCGACTTCATCTTTCGACACATTGCATAAAGCAGCAAGTCGGGAGCGAGCTATGCTGACTTGTACGCAATCACCATATATATCTACAAGAGCAAAGATACGCTGTGGTATATTGTTGACAGCAACGCCTTGTGAAATACCATTGATGTAGAATACCAGCTCATGCTACAGTCACAAACATAATTATTAATTTGATATCAAACAATGAATATAGATTAAAGAATGATAAATTACCTTGGACGTTCGCATTACTCCTAAAGTATTCCCCTCGTCCAGATCATTAAGATCTGTCCCATACACTTCTACGATTCTGTCTCCATCATGGACTATACCCGAACTAGTCATAATCCAGGTGCCATGACGGAGGCTTATGGCACAGGATGGTATCTCCAAGGCTTCAGGATCGCATTCCGTTACTCCAATTTCTATGCTGCCACTCCACGATATGATCTGTACAATATCAAAATTCAGTTTTCCAGTATTAAATGCAAGTAAATTTTAATACCTAATCATCTCGGCATTTTCATGTAATGAATCTGCTTGTCAATATCTTTAAAAGAGATCAAATATAACATGAGAAACGCTAAATCAACGTAAAATAATAACATATATATTTACATTTATTTATCGACAAACTATATATATTTTATAATTATTTCTTTGTTTGAGCTGAATCCTAGACAAGCCGCGGAATGTTCGTGGAGATGATTCCCATGGGAATGGAATGACGAGTATTTCGCGTGCGCGTATGTACCTTTTTGTCGATGAGGACTTCGAACAGCTCGTCATCCCGGAGCGGCTCGGCACTGAACACCAGACCGTCAGTGTCGTCGGAGAGGCACCGCGTGGCTGTGCAATTGTTGTTGCTGAGGGTGACACGGTAGCCGCATCGTCGGTGGAACATATCGAACGCAGGTCACCGTGTGTTGTGTATCGCGCCGCGTTGTGCCGTGCGATGCGTTCGTTCGGTCGGTCGGTCGGTCGGTCGACATGCCAGGCACGCTGCGCTGCGCCGCGCCGCGCCGCGCCGCGACGCATTGTCGCCCTTCGCCCTCCGCCACCGCGGTCCGTCGAATCCCCACGATTTCCTAACACGCGGATGCGCGGAACAGCGGGAAAAGCGCGAAACGAAAACGTACTCCTCGGGGAAACATTGCTTATCTCAGGTTGAGATAAACAATAACGATGATGCTGAACGGTCTCTTTAAATCTCAACTCTCTTGACTCAGGCTTTCTCTTCTTTTATACATTTCTTTTCTCTAACAGAACAGAAATATTCTGCGCTTTATAAACGGAGATATAAAGTATTTTTTAGTTAATGTCTATATTTTCCTATAATTAATAAGTTCTATAAATATAGTTAATAAACTTAATGTAATTTTAAATTCGAGAAAGTAAAGAACCATCGTCGTTTAATAAGCAGTACAGTTAGATTATTTGGATCAGCAGTAAAATAAGTTCAGAGCGAGAGGAAAGTATTATTTTGTCATCAAACCGCCATCTAAGAATACAATGAGAAAGCATTTTATCGCAAAGCAGTCGATAATATAATGGTAAAATTAATATTAATGACAATACAAATACTAATGACAATATAAATACTAACAATGTTATTTGTCATAAAAATAAATAGGAACAATGTAATTGTTGATTAATAATTAATAAATATTTTTCGATCTAAATATTTTAAATTAACATTTATCACATTTTTTATTTTTATTTTTCCCTGAATTCACAAAAATTATTAATTTACTTTTTTTTATATTTTTGTTATCATAAATTTTGTAATAAAACCTACATATTAGTAAATATTTTAAATATAATATATTTTAGTCATAATTTAATATCTATTTACATATATTGATTTTGAAAATTCTTTGAGATATTGCGAGGAAGGAAACTAATTAATTTACAAAAAAATCATAATGTGCGTATTATAATTGTTAATAATAAATAAAAATTTTTTTAAATATAAGAAGTATTATAGCAAATCCTACATGATATTTATTATATCTTTACTCTTTTATGAAAAAACAATTGTTAAAGTCTTTTTTTCATATTTTTGTTTTTATAAACTCTGTAACATAGAAACACATATTGTCAGTAATAATAATATATTAGCATCAGTGTAAGAAAGGCGTATGTCGATTGAGGGCTGTTTGAAATATTACAAGAAAAAAAGGAGAAGACATTAAAAAATTTATAATTAAACAATTTGTAAAACAAAGAAATTGTATATTATAATTGTTAGTAATTAATAAAAAACTTCTGAAATACTATTTTAGCCTTACGTAAGTTTAAAATTCCCAAGTTGATATTTAAACTTCTTTGTTTCCATGAGATAAGCCAATAGAATAACGTCGATTAACAAAGAATACCTATATATAACTAGAATTATCTAAGATAAACGATTATTAAAATTAGAAGTGTATCCGATAATTTTGTTGTCTAATTGGTGATAGAATTATAGGAGATTATAAAGTCAAGAAGTATATTTCGATATATCAATATGTTTAACTCGTATTTAACTTGTGTATCATAAGATTTTCTATATTTGATGTAGAAAAAAAGCACGAAAAATTTAATATTTATTAAAAGAAAAAGAAGAACTCTCTTTGCGAGCCAGCGAAGTCGTCAAATTTCTTAAATTAATACACGGTATATTTATAACCTGTTATTGATTATTATTCTTTTGTCTTCACAGTTAATCTACTCTTCTTCTAGGTACTTCGCGGTGTCATCGTTTCTAATCAACAGCGAGACCATGACGCGATAATAGATGCCAAAGAAATAAATCGTTTCTAAAGAGACTCTTCTTCACAAGTCAAAGTCTATTCATAATCTGCTTCCCTTGTCTCCTCCTCACTTTATCTTCGCGATTAATCCGCGATTAATCCGTTCATTCTTAAGATTTTAGCATGTTTGATTGATTCCGACAAACAGGATATATCTCGCCATGAAAGTCGCGGAATAATTATCCTTGCAAAAGATTCTCTCTTTTTTATTAAAATAGTGACCGCCACCCTTATTTTTGACATTATCTTTTAATTAACGAGTAACATAACAAATTTATATTAAAAGTAGTAAAGAAAGATATATCTTCTTTCTTGAGAAAAAAGAACAACATATCTGTCATGCTTACTAGGAATATGATGAAAAATATCAAAAAACTATAATTTATGTACTCTCTTTTATTGATTCTATTGATTATTGCTTTTTTTTACAATTAATCCGCTAATTCGCGTGTTCATTTTTTGGTCTATTCAACAATATTCGCCAAACAAACTGACTGCATGCGTGATATCCGATAAGAGTATTTATCAGTCAAGTTGGTTACTTCAGAATGTGAACGAGTTTCTCGAGTGTATATCGTTTACTTTTCGTTGTAAGTGGCCGAGTAAAATTGTCGATTAGGCAATTTCAAAGATGGACACATGACGATTTAAGCAGATAAGAGCGATTTACATATCTCCCATGTTACCTATGACCTGCCTCCTAGTACAGTATCCACTCGGATAAGAGTACGGAAGACTCCGATTGGACTTTGAGCGGTCAAAGATTGTCTCGGAACGATACACGAGAAGTGTTTTTCTCTCGGTGGTAGTGGTTATAGATAAATGTCGGTTGTCCTGTCCTGGGGAGAACGTTCAGTCAGTTTGAATCAACGTGGGACCGGGAAAGGACAAATAGCAGAAAGACAAAAAGAAAAGCTAATCGCGAAGATGTCGTTCACCGTGAACACGAATCCACCCGGGCCTGAAGCCAAGGCTGTAGCTGAGAAAGAATTGAGAGAAACGGAGGAAAACGTAAAGAAGGGTATTGAGACTCTGAGGAAATATCTTGAAGGTTAGAGAATTTTCCTTTTTCATGACTTGATCCCGAAGGGGGGACGTTTGTTGCAATGTCTCTAATTTTAAATGTCTAAATTAGCCAAGTCTTCATGTACTTTTTAATTCTCTTTCTTTATTTTTCTTTTTTTAATTTTTTTAATTATTTATAAGTTTTTTTTTAATTAATCGGAAAATTCTACATTTATTAATATACCTAAGAAGAAATACACGTCAAAGAAGGAATATATTGTTACAAATTTGCCTGTGCTCTCTAGAGGATTCTATTGGCGAGGTATTTGAGTCTTTCTATTTAAAATTTACTGATTTATTTTTTTTAATTTTTTAAACTTGTATACATGCTCTTACAATTATTCAAGTAAATGAGCTTAAAATAAGTTTTTATTATTTTTATAACATAGTTATTACTATTTTAAAAGTAGTTTAGAAGAAATTCTTTGCAGAAATTTTACACCGTGGCTTTTTATAAAAAGAAATAAATATTTAATATATTTTTCTGTTCGCAAGATATTACTTTAGCTTATTTAATGATACACACACTGGTATTTTAATTTTTATAAAAAAATTTGAGTTTATAATCATTTTTTTAATGAAAATATTGCATCAAGTTTTCAAATTATGATTATTAAAAAAAGAATTGTTTTATAAAAAAATATTATACGAGAACAAACAAATTATGAAATCTTATTACTTTCTTAGCTAATTTCTTTCAAGTAGCGAGTAAATTTTTCTTTGGTCTTAAAATTTTGGTATTTCTCAAAACTCAGTCGGAAATTCATTACATTACATTAAAACTGCGGTAAGATACGTGAAAGATAATTGTAAATGCTAAAAAAGAAAGAAATAAACATTTTTAATTTTTATTTATCGCGCATTTATAAATTATATAATTTATCAGAAACTTTGTCTTGAAATAAAATCAATTAATCTTTCGAATTTTGAAATTTATCTTGGACGTACAAACATTATTAAATTTTAAAAATCGCAATGAATCGATAACGAAAACTAAAGTTTATTTCAATTAAAAATAGAGATGATCATTACATATTTTGAATGTTATGAACTTTCTAAACTTTTCATAATGAACAGTAATACATTATCGTGAAAATTTCGGATTTCACCGCAGACTCGTTACGTTTCGACGTAAATCTAAGGATCATAATTATTACATTGATCTTTTCTTTTTTGTATCAATTAATTGAAATAAAAATAAAATTTTATTAATGGGAAATTACATCGATTAATCGTTACTGCGAGTAGATCAAGTTTCGACTAATAAATAAGAAATGGACGGCTATTAAATAAAAGAGAAATGTTTTTTGTGCTCGTCAATCTTTAACTGATAAAAAGAGAATCGATCAAGCGAAAAACCTTGTCTTGAAGTATTCTATGTAAATGAAACAAGTCCATTCAGAAGTCTTCAGTAATAACGCTTTAATGAAAATTATTGAGACTGTTCGAACGACATGGAGCCACTGAATAGATGTATTGAAAGATAATGTTGAGGTCATACTGTGACATTCTGATAATCTCGTTTCCTTTTATCTTTTTTTACTTCGAACGCGAGCGTAGCAACGGAACCCGACAAATCATCAAATTATTATCGAGCTTCTTAAATTTTAAACCATGACGTCGACTTCTAAAATCGATACTGTACTTCATAATACTGCATTTCAAAATATATACGCGCAATACGAGCTTCAAAGAAAATGCGTCAAAGTCTAATCATTTAAAATTCTAATCACCTAAGAAAAGTAATTAATTATTATAGAAACGCAATTATGCATGATTACGTAAAGATAAAAGCAAAAAGTATTATCATGCCGCTTGCAAAATGCAAAACTCCTTACAGTAGACTTAGGCTCAATTGCATCAACGTTATTTTGAATATTAAGTGGTATTTAATATATAATATATGTCACGTATATTATGTATTAAGTATTAAGTCTCGCTTAAAATTTAAATAATATTGGTGCAACTGGGTCTTAGAATTCTGAATATTCAATAAGGAAAATATCCATTAAATTTATAAGCTTTATATAATTTTGTGTTGCTCGAGGTGAATTATTTTCAATAGGCATTAATCGGCACGCAACAAAAAACGATCCGCAGCGACATATGCCGGTTTATAGATGAAAATATATTTATTTGCCACGAAGGTTGATTGAGAGATAAAAAAAATCTTTTGATAACGCGATTGATATACAAGTTGAGTGCACCTTGACCCTCGGACACGAGAAAGGATAATAGGTACACATGTGATATCGAGTGCGACGTTAATTACCTTTCAAATGGATAGATCTCGTTCTTGAAGATCAGCATTTGGGCACGTTTAAAATATCTCGAGATTACACGAAACGGGATTTCGAAATGAGGGCGCGTTTATCGCGCAACGAATTCGGTGATTCAATTGTACGATAAGCTAGATATTACATATTTTTTTATTTGATAATTTTTAATTGGATAACTTTTTTCTTTCGTCGCTATGCCCGCATTTGAACGCGTATTTATCATCGTCTACAAATCGTTTCTCAGTCATCATCCGTTTCCGTCAGTGGCATTGCGCATTCGTGTTGTCGTGTAGCGCAAGCATTCGTTTAATATTGAAATAGAAAATAAATGGCGACCTTCATGCAATTTCCCTAATAAAGAGCACCGAGGTAATTTCTTTAAGAATGATATTGTGACCTCGCACGCGAAGCGATTTTTTTTTTATATTATCAAAACATGAGACGAACAAGCGTTGGGAAGAATGGATTTAGCAGATTTTTAATACTTAATACTAGGATCCTTTTTTGCAAAGATCGTGTAATTAATAATTGCGAGTCAGCATCGTTATTATCGATTACTTTTCTCTCGATCATTCAGTTCAAAAGTCCGCTTATTGTAATTTTGTTGATTATGGTATAACACGGACTTGACTATGTACCTTGGTCGAGAAGCACATTTCGATAACGTGACAGAACGATACAAAGTCCGATGATTCTGCCAGATAAGAGAAATGATCAGCTGGCGGTGAATCATTAGTCATTTGTTGCAAAAAGATGTGCACGTACCGGCTATTCATATCACCTACATGCACAAGATTACCGTGTTAAAGCGACATCGGATATTTGCGATGACGTATCGCGGGGATCGTAACAATTGTCTCTTATTCGACAACAACTTGATTCATTTTTAAAATAAAGCGATATCTTTGAGTGGAATGAATACAAGAATGTCTTTATATCGCTTTTGCGAGCGATTACATGCCACATTGAAAAAAACCGCTTTGAAATATTTATAAAAACTTGATCAAGCTTAAGCTTGATAATACTAAAAAAGTGTTCTGATATTCTAAGAATTAATTTTGAATTACATATAATTATTTTGATGACCCAACAAAATTACTTTTAAATCTGTATTTGATCAAATTTTTACTTCAGCAAAATTGTTCTCGCACATGTTTAATGTTGTTGAATCAAATGATTTTGCTAATATTGACAATGAATTGATTTCAGAGGACAAAACGCTTTTTTACTCTACCGACGATGATTTTCTCATGATTTTCCTCCGGCCTTGCAAATTTTATCCGGAGAGCGCGTACGAACTTATGAAACGTGCCGCGGATTTCAAGGAGAAGCATGCGGTTCTGCTACACAATTTGATCCCGAGTGATGAGAAGGAGGCTTTCACCGAGCACAACATCGTTAATGTATTGAAAGACAGGGATCACAAAAATCGCAGGATATTGTTAGTACAATCCGGCAAAGTCTGGAATCCACAGAAAGTCACCTGCGATCAGATATTCCGAATGTTTTACTTAATTCATGAATTGGCTGTAGAGGAACCGGAAACGCAGGTATGAAATAAAATTATTACTTATGCATATTATATATATAATATAATTTTTTTTCTCCCGTTCACATATATACAGCTCTTGGCCGTCGAATTAGATCACATGCAAAATTTTATTTTTTTAACTATAACATCATAAACGGCAAATTGGCATCCTTGGCTGCTCAAATTATTAATACGTAAATGATTCAGAGAATGCACGATTTGATTACAACTTTACGTGGCAAGAATGCCTGTGTTATTGTTCTTCGCTCTGACACGCTATCGAAACTCTTAACGTAAAAATGCGGTCAGTCCTCAATCGCTCATTATCCATGAGAATTCTGTCAGTTTCATAATTATAGTTAGAAAAATGAAATTTTTACATATGATCTTAATTCAATGATCAGGAACTGTGCATACGTAGTAATTAAATAATTAATGTATTTAAATTAAATTCAGATATGAATACAAATTTATATTGCAATGTTATGAAGAAAATCTGTGTAATTTTATTTAAATTATGCAATTATTATATTAATAGATTTTTTATATATTACGAATCATTGTATTTGATAAAAGTATAAATTAGTGTTGTGAATACGTATATATAATTGTCGAGTTGAGTATGCGATAATTTACGGTCAGCAAAATTCCATTAACTTGACCGTGTCACAAAGAAAATATTACATTAATGCGAGAAAGAGAAAGAGAGAGAGAGAGAGAGAGAGAGAGAGAGAAGA